ATATATCTTATTAATAGTTATTTCCAATAGTGGAAAGCCCTACGTTCAATTCTAATGTCAATCTCGATCAAAACGTTTATATTTGTATCATCGTAAAGTGGCGCAACTAGTGAAAGCCGATGAATTCCACGAGCTAAAGTTCAGGGAGGCGTATCACTGTGGGAATCAAGCGACTTTTCTCTCTACATTGTACTTTGAAGATTATGATACCTAACTGAATTATTCGTTACATGTCCGGCACACTTGTCATGCAAGGTGTCGCGCGCAAACGTCAATAAACAAATTACAAATTATGAAGCGACAGTCGCGTAAAGGTAGTAGGACCGAAATATCATTCAAGTTCGGTCAAGAGTTGGAAATATATTCCAACTCTCTCTGGAAAAATTCCATGAACTTATCGATCCCTGAGACGATCATTGCTTGCGAACATTGCTTGCGAATTCTCCAAGGAGACTATTATACGGTAACAAAACGATACGCTTCGAGCGCTGAATATCAGTGACATACAATGAGACACGGTTCAACATGCTCGCGATCACGATGAGGTAGGGAACTGTGGAACATGGCTATTACAGGAGAAACATAGCTCCGGCAGTTTTCTGCTGATGTCCCGATGTCGTGTCTTCCGCTCGAGTCACGCTAACTTTTCTCGCTCCTCGTTCCTCGATCCTCGTTCTCGGTTTCCTTCCCCCCTTTCCTTCCCCTGAGATATAGAGGCCGATTTATAATATATACATATACGCGCGAACCAATAGTCTTCTAAGCGATCTAAATAATGCTCGGACAACGTTTGTTTTATTCCGTGGATACATACATACGTACGTACGCACGTACGCACGTACGCACGTACGCACGTACGCACGTACGCACGTACGCACACCCACCTACAAACACATGAACACATTAACATATTTATTGCTTTGGCAATAACATTCGCGCGTGGCGAGCGTAGGCGAGCGTGTCACAGATGAGCGATGTGTGGATGAGGTCAGGCGTTTGTGTTAAATGCATGGGCACACGCGAGAATTCTGGACGCGAATCCGTATTATCCGTATTATCGCAATGATAATAAATATTGAATTTATTTCCAAAGTTGCGAATTAGGAAATCAGCACATTAAAATGTATGAAAATATCTTTAAGACTTAACAATCTAAAAATGAAATTTACGAATTTACAAGATTGATGTTAACAAAAATTTGGTAATGTTATTAAGTTTGAAGGATCAACGGTATGTAAATATCTACATTTTTCGAAAAGAATGATTTCGCTTAACTATTTGAATGTGTATAACGATATAGCAGAATGTGTGTTTCACAACAGCGTGTATCTCATCGCCGCCTTACAATTCGCGATTTTCGCGGAATACGATCGAATAAATATCAGGGTGTATCGAACAAGTTTGTTCATAGCGCAAGCTAGAACGTGTGTCGGGTGAAAGGTTTGTAGGTGTGGCGAATATAACAATTCACACTGTACAAATTTCAAGTAAAACTTTAAATAATTCGTATCGCCGCCAGGATGTCCAATTATGATAGTCGTGAATTCATGCGAAACACATGCATCAAATAAACTATTCGAAACTACGGGCAAATTGTCGTTATCGGTGCATGTACTATGTGACATGGATACACTTCTGCAAGATTTATAGATATCCTTTTAATAAAAGGGTTTTTAAATTTGCAATATATTTTTGATAAATTTTTTTCTTATAATTTGTAATTATTGATACGTCCATTTAGACAGAGAGAGAGAGAGAGAGAGAGAGAGAGAGAGAGAGAGAGAGAGTCG